TCCAATACTTATATCTGTCATAACTTGCGAAACAAGTCGTCGATTCTTTACAACTTGCTATATCTAAATATTTCTCTTAACCAGCATTCTGATATGAATATGTAATTTGTCGGAATTTATGATTTCGCATAAAATTGGATACGGATGTTCGATTTCCTTCAAATTTTGCACATATCATTATTTTTTATCTGTATTAGATGAAGTATGAAAATGGAATACTTCGGTCTCTGTTACCTGACGCATATTGTAATTTCCTGAAAAACAGCGAAAGAGATATAATACGAAGGGAGTGTTTTCGGGTAGTAGTTTCCGAATATTAGGACTTATAGGCAAAAAGAGGTTTGGATTTGGAATTTCTTTTTTCTGAAAATGTATTATTCATCCTTAGAGAAATTACAGATAATAAGGCCTATAGTGCCGGAACTTAAAAAAATATATACAAACAATATTATTTTGTTGTTGAAAAATAGTTAGGCTTAATCCCATTATTGTTGTTTTTACAAAAACAACAATTGTTTATAAGTGGAGAAAGATGGTAATGTTTACAAGGGGTAAGACAGGGAATTAATTGGTTTTGGAGAGAGCCACTTTTGGCTATCTGTAGAGCCTGTATCAACCGTTAAGGCGCCAATTTGCTTTTTGCTGGCTACAATAGTAACACTTACTCTTCACACCCTTCTTTCGTTATTCAAGCCAATGTTCTATGCTATAGGTCGCTATCTAATATTGGGTTGTTTTTGTTTCTGGAAAATCCGCTATCATAGAGTCCCTTTCCGCATAATTCACTTAGAACCTTTCGATAGAGCTAATTAAAGTTTCATAATGCCACCCTCCATATTTGCCTTCAATTATTGCCACAAGACCCCGAGGCACAATTATTTTTACTTTGATTTATTGGAATTCCTAAAGACACTATTGTCAATGAGCCTGCCTTTGAGGCAGTCACTTTGTCACTTCATTGGGAGCTGGGTGTTAATTTGCTATATCATGTTCTTTGGAGGCTTAACTAAAGACAATTCCTGTTGAGTCAAAATGGCAACAAATGACAAGCGGGCCAAAGATAACCAAAAACGACACACAAAAAAATCAATCAAAATTTTGTCATGCTTCAATTTGTGGTGATTGAAATGTTTTCGATTTTCTACTTTTGAAAAAGCCAAAAAAAAAAAAAAAAAAAAAAAAAAAACCAAAAATTCTGCGAAGTTGTTCGAGTCATTATCTGGCCATTGTTCAATGGTTGATTCATTATTTTCTGTGGCCGCCTCTGTCACTTGAAAACATTGGAACATTTCTTATTGAAATTTCTTTTACCCAACACCACCAGTACCACCTCCACCTACTCTCTTTATCTTTTTTTAATGTTGATAAATGATGCGGACCTCCTGTTCTTGTTGTACGTTGTTTTTTTTATTATTTTATTATTATTGTTATTTTTTATTTTTGTCAAATTAATAAGTTAATTTATTAAATGGGGTCACTTCAATTAAAATCGAGTAGGGCAGCAATTCAAATCAATTCTATTTCTGCCACTACAAAACGATCGAGTGCTGCAGATAAGCCTGTGTGGCATACTTCTTAAGAGGAGACATATTTGGACGTGTGTGTGTGAGTGTGGGGATCGCGTGATGATTCACTTGAACTTGTTGCGAGGAGGGGGGATTTTCTTTTCAATCACGATTTTTGTTGAGAGATATGCGTAATTGTACGGTAACGGTAACTGGAACGGTATGCAAAACAAAAGACTTAAGACACAAACATTGTTGTTTACAAATGGAAATTAAAAAATTATTTTTTGCGGAGAAAAATTAACTTTTACCAAAACTTGGAACTGCATATGAGTAATAGAATTTCTTCAAAACATAGAGGAGATCAAGATCGATCGCTTAGGATTTTTTAAAAAATTGAAAGAAGCCATTGTAAGAAAATTTGTCTCTATGCCTTCCTCATCTTAGATGAAGAGTAAAGGGTCTTCAAATAAATTTCTCCAAAAATGTCAAAATAACCCGAATTTTACTATAGTTCCGAAATGGTTAATAAAGATCGGAAGGGCAATTTAAGGTATTTTATAAACAAAAAATATATTACAGAAGGGAGCACACATTACATATTTCGCTCAATAAAAACGGAATATTTAAAATTTATAAATTATCTAGAAAAAGGTGGAACCCATAGCACAAAATTAAAAATTATGCGTGGGTCAAGACAAGCCTCTACTGAAGGGGATCAGTGAGTTTGTTTACTACGAAATTTAGTTTTAAAGGGCCATTGAATGACTTTCTCAGCCGTGGATACCATTCCATCTATGTCAAATCGAGGACATTGATAGACGAATTGATTTTTAATATTTGGCCTCCTCATAAAAGTTTAAAGAAGACCTTTTGGCCTTCTACGAAAATACTTTTTGGCCTTCTATGAGCAGACCTTCCTATCTTTAATGACAAGACATTTAAGCCTAATATGAGACAATACCTCCTGGTCTTCTATGAGAAGCCCTCCTGGACTTTTACGAGAGGACGTGTCGGACAAAAAACCTTCAGCTCTTCTATGAGAGAAGTCCTACCCGCCTTCTATAAGAAGACCTTCAGCTATTTTCTCCAAGCCTTCTATTAGAAGGTCTTCAGCTCTTCTATGAGAAAACCTTCAGCTCTTCTATGAGAAGACCTTCAGCTCTTCAATGAGAAGACCTTCCCCCTTCTATTGGAAGACCTTTCGGCCCTCAATAAGAAGACCCCCTGTCCTTCAATTGAGAAAACTTTCCGGCCTTCTATAAGAAACAGGCCAAGCCTCATAGCATATAGAACTTTATAGCAAATGGATACAAATTTGTATATTTTTAAGATTTTAATTCTTTATTAATATATATTAGCCTGAGGACAAAATTAACTCAGACTCTCAAATTATTTCACTATCTCCCTTCACTATACTCCATGTATGAATCTAAAATTTGTTTTCTTTAACTTTATCTTCCAGATAAATGTGGATGTTTTCTGTCTCTGTTTTAGTGGCCCATCCTTAACATATGCAATGCATTTTGTGTTTTTAGCCATCTGAACCCCACAAAGTCCAACTGAGCCCCATATCACCACAGCTATTTCATTTACAGATAAAGCATTTTAGTGTTCATTTGTAACGTTAGGGGGTAGATTATTTCATATAGATGATCCATATGTTCCACAGATATGCTAGGCATTATATTTTTATTTTAGAGTGTCAACTCGAAAAGGGGCCTATCAAGAGTTTCTTTTTATACCCTCCACCGTAGTATGAAGGGTATATTAAGTTTGTCTTGTCGCTTGTAACACCTCGAAATATACATTTTAGACCAAGGTGTATATATTTTTGATCAGTATAAAATTCTATGTCGATTTAGCGATGTCCAGAAAACTGTCTGTGCAGGTCCATGTCTTCGCATAGTCCCCATATAACGGTACCTCCCGATATGTGGTATTCACCGAATTTTGATTTCAAGCTTCGCATTTGAATATTGTAATGGCTTATGACAAAGGTTGCCTATGTAGGTCCACGTCGTCGTATAGACTTTTTAAAATTTACTAATTGAGATTTTTTTTTGAAAATTGCCAAATTCGTTATCGATGGTGAAGGGTATTCAGCTTTTTTACTTGTTCTATAGAAACAAGTTAAAAAGTATCAGTCGGCCTTACTGACAGCTTTATACTACAGCCAATGTTCGATTATTTAAATATATTTTGTCTTCTATGGATACAGGGCCTCTTTTGAGCTCATGAAAGCTTATCTTTCCTGAATCCTATAGAAGGTTTCATAGGAGCTCTTCGTCTTTTATTCTATATTTGGAGAATACTCCCACTTTTTATACCCTCAGCCATATAGCTAGTTATACCCTCGACAATAGGTATATATCATTTGATACAGTTTCAGGACATTTGGAGTCGATCTAGCGATGTCCGTCTGTCTGTCGGTTTTTGTCAAACTTAGATCGAGTTCGGAGATGGATCAGTCCACCCCTTCTAGTACCTCCCCCACAAGAGATCGACATTTTCAAAAAATATATTTTCCGCACAGAAAGAGGAACAATTATCCATCTTTGATCCAACTTTGCAAATCCTATTATTTGCGTCAGTGCTATTTAAAAAAGAAGATGGTCGATATAGTCCAAACCTGGCACGTTTGATTTTGCCCATCTCCGAACTCGATCTAAGTTTGATATAATATTACTATTACCAAATTAAATACTCCTTTCGGGAGTTATCGCGCGCCCCAGCCAGACGGACGGGCATCGCTAGACGACTTCAAATTTCCTGAAACGGATTTGGTTCAAAGAGACCTGGGTTCTAAAACTGTTATTTCGATGAGACACGTTTTGGTCGTATGATATATGTCTCTCAAGAGGTCTTCTATAGATGGAAGACCTCTGAAGAGCTCTTCTATGTATAGAAGACCTCTGAAGAGCTCTTCCATGTATAGAAGACCTCTGAAGAGCTTTTCTATAGATAGAAGACCTCTCATAGGGTTTCCTATGGATAGAAGACCTCTCAAGAGCTTTTTTTAGATAGGGGATCTCTCAAGAGCTCTGCTATAGATAGAGGATATCACAAGAGCTCTTCTATAGATAGAAGATTTCTCAAGAGCTCTACTATGTACATAAGACCTCTCATGTGCTCTTCTACGAATAGAATACCTCTCTTGAGAGTTCTTCTATGAATAGAAGATCTCTCGTGAGCTATTCTATGGCTGAAATACTTCTCTAGAGTTCTTCCATAGATGAACAACCATTCAAGCGCTCTTCTATAGATGGAAGACCTCGCAATGGATATAATACATCCCAAGAGTTCTTCTTAAAATAGAACACCTCCCAAGAGCTCTTCTATATATAGAAGACCACCCAAGAGTTCTTCTATAGATAGGAAACCTCTACAACGTCTCATGAGCTCTTTTAGAAATATAAGGTTGCTCAGGAGCTCTTCGCCTATTTTTCTACTTTCTGGCCTCCAAAAAAATCTGTACTCTTGTCATAGGTGGGTTGTTTGTTTTTACAAATTTATTTTCTTAAAATACTAAATTTTTGTGTTTTTATAATTAATAAATAAACAATATTAGAGATTGTGTTATTAGAAAAAAATGATATAAGCACTTATAAAACTAAAACTTATGGTAGATATATAAAAAAATGATCTTACAAAATGTTGTGTTTTTTTTTGCTTGGATAGAATGTGAGGAATGTTTTCTTGTGGGGGTGTTGTTACAATTTTTAGTGATTTCCTAAATAATTATATAAATATTTGGTTTCTCAGGATATCTGATAGCATAGCTTAAGGTACTAAGAATTTCTCTAAAGGAACTTGGGCAAAGAAATTGTTGATGTGTTCCACCAGAATGGGGGCCCATTGGTCACGGGTGGCCGGTATGCCAACGCGGGTGATTTCCGGTAGATTTTCATTGACCAAATTCAGGATCATGGTGTCTAAAATAAGAATGAAAATGTTGTTAATTAAAATTTTATTAATTTTTCTAGACTCTTGTACTTACTCAAATTCCTATCCGAAAAAATGCCATTGGCAATAATTTTGGCATTGCCCACAGCCACATTGGCATTTAGGCGCTGCAGCTGCAATCTCATGCCATTGTCTTCATTGGTGATAAATTTGCCATCAGTCAAAGCCACTGCCTTGATGTTGTCTGAAAATAATTTTCAAATTAATTCCATTTCAAAATATTAACATTTTCTTCATATATCCCCTGCTTACCAATGGTAATGTTGAAGGGTCCCTTGGGCACCAAACGCAAACCACCAAATTTAACATCAGCCTTAAATTGACCATCAGCCTTGATTTGCTTGATTTCCAAACCCAGTTTCACAATCAAATTGTTGTCGGTAAAATTGCCAATGAAGGATTTCACTTGCAAATTGGATATGCCATGAATCTGCATGTTCTTGATTAGCAAACCACCCTGTATACCTTCGCTGGCATAACGGAAAATACCACGCTGGTAATAGTAGGGATCCAACGAACCCATGCCATATTCAGGGAGTCCTTGCTGTAAAAAAAAAAATAAATTGAAACATAATATTAGAAAATTGTTTAAGAAGTCCTTAATAAATAAAATATAAAAATAAACTCTTAGTCCTTGAAAATATATTCTTAACAATTTCCAACTTTGGATGTATTTGGTCCTTGAGAAAATAAATTCGGTAAATTGTTCGTCCTTTAAAAAAATGAAAAAAATATTTGGTTGTATGCTCGTCCTTAAAAAATCTTTTAAAAAATCTAAGTTTAGTGGCCTGTTCTCCTCGAAAAAAAAATATATATTAAAATAAATAGGGTGGTTGGGAAGTCTGTCCTTGAAAAAATTCTTTAAAAAATTAAAAAAAAAAGTTTAATGGTCTGTTGGCCTTGAAAAAATTTATTTAAAAAATATGGTGCTATCTTGATTCTTGAAAAAATCTTTTGCATGAGGCTGGGTTTTATGGAAATTCGTACTAAAAGGGTGACGAAAATGTACTAAAAATTGAATACATTGTATTCCGACAAACGGAATAAGCTATAATTTTGAAATTGGAATGCAATTTACTGATGGAGTGCAGTATATGATGTTTACATGGGTTTTTGGAAATTCGAAAAGTTCTAAAACGATACTAAACTTCTAAAATGGTACCATTTGGTATTTTGTGAACGGATAGAGCTAAAAGCTTGAAATTTGGTTTGAGAATCGATATCGGAAAGCAAGTTTGATATATGAAGGTGCTATGGGAAATATGTACTAAGGCTGCGAACTGTACTAAATGGCACTAAATTTGGAACCATCGGGTTTAGGGTTAAGGGATGAAGTTGGAATTTAGTAATTTTGTATTGATGTTCCTTTTGGCGGGAGGTTTATGATAAAGAATTAGTTTTGGATATATATGCAACAAATGCACCAAAAGTACTAAATGGTACGAAATTTGGTACACTTTGGTATTGGGTGAACAGATAGTTCTTAAAATCTGAAATTTGGTATTAGGGTCGCTGTTCATGTGTAGCCTGAAATTATGAAGGTGGTTTTGGAAATGTGTACTATAATTGTACGAAAAGTACTGAATGGTACTAAATTGGGTATTGGGTGAAGGGATAGCACTAGAATCCTCAAATTTGAAATTCAGTTGAGTCTATATTGGTATCTGGATTTGAGATAAAGAATTGAATTTGGAAACATACTCGTATGTCCTACAAGTACACGTAAAGTACTAAATAGTGCAATATTTAAAACAATTTTGGTATTGCGTATAGTAGGAAAAGTACTAATGGTACTAAATCTGGTATTGGGTAAAGGGATAGAACTGAAATCCTGAAATCTGATACGGATGTCACCGTTGGTGTGTGTGGTTGAGAGAACTGAGTGAATTTGGAGTAGTGTACCATGATTGTACTAAATGGTACTAAATTTTGTAAAAGGAGAAATTAAAGAGCTGATATTGTGAAATTTGATATTGAGGTCTATGTTGGTATCTGGAATTGAGATATATAAATGGTTTTGGAAATTGTACAATAATTGTACGAAAATAGTACTAAATTGTATATTGGGTGAAGGGATAGAGCTGGAATCCTGAAATTTGATATGAATGTCTCTGGTGGTGTATGCGTTCAAAGAAGGATTTGGTTTTTGGAAATGGGTACTATAATTGTACTAAATTGTACTAAATCTGGTATTGGGTGACGGGATATCACCGGAATCCTCAAATTTGAGATTGAAATCTCTGTTGGAATCTGGAATTTAAATATGGGTGTGGTCTTAGAAATGTACACAAAAGTACTATATTTAGTACAATTTGGTATTGGGTGAGCAGAAGGTGCTTGAAATCTCAAATTTTATATTAGAGTCGCTGTTCATATGTAGCCTGAACAAATGAAGATGGTTTCGGAGTGTGTACTATAATTGTATGAAAAGTACTTAATCTGACATTGGGTGAAGGGATGGAGCTGGAATCCTCAAATTTCATATTATACTCTCTGTTTGTATCTGGAATTTCATATTAAGGTCACTTTTAGCATCTGAGGTTGAAATACAGAGTTTTTTTTTTTTTTTTTTTGAAAATACACAATTTATTTGTACGAAAAGTACGAAATGGTACTAAATTTGGTATTGGATCAAGGGATAGAGTTAGATTCCTGAAGTTTGATATGAATGTTGCTGTGGGTGTGTGTAGTTGAGAGAATTGTACTAAATGGTACTAAATTTTGGTAAAGGGGGGAGTTTACAGAGTGGAAACCCTGAAATTTTTTACTAAGGTCACTAGGTTGAGATATACAGATTTTTTTTTTTTTTTTTGAATGCGTTCTTTAATTGTACCAAATGAACCAAATGTTACTAAATTTGGATAGAGATGGAATTCTGAAATTCTGTATCGAGGTTGCTGTTGTTATCTAAGGTGGAGGGAAGTAGGTGGTTTTGGACATGCATAGTATAAGTGCACGAAAAGTACACATTCGGGATTGGGTTTTAGGATATAAGAGAAATTATAAAATTTGATATCAAATTCACTGGTGAAACGAATCTATAATTTTAATGTGGTCTTGTCGCTGACGAAGGGTACTAGAAGTTAAAAAAACACATTTTTGTAGTCCCAGAATATTTTGTGTGAAGCCCTCCAAAAATATATTCTTTAAAAATCAATGTTTAGTTAGTACTTAAAAGCAAAATCTTTGTTTATTCTTTTTTTGTGAAAATTATTCTTCAAATAACCAAGGTTTTCTTGGGTCTTGAAAAAAATATTATTTAAAAAATCTGGAAATTCCCCCTTCCTGTCATCCGATTCCATTTAGTTTACTTCGCATGTCGTATTCACTTTACAATTGACCACAAGCACGCTTAATCATCATAGCTACTTAAATTTAAGTTTTGAGTTGCTTTTCAAACCCCCCCCCTTTTGTCTAATACAATTACATACATAATTACACAAATAGCCTTCTGTGTTTAGTGTAATGTGGTAATTACTCTTTTTTCCAGCTGTTTTGTTTATTTCATTACCTTCAATTCCGGCAGTATTTTCATAAACAGACCGCGTATGCATTCGTTTTTATTGGGATCACTGAGGGAGCAGGGTGTTATTTGTAAGCGACCTGAAAATGGGAAAAAAATAAAAATTAAGTTAGTTTACAGACATTCAAATGGTGTTGTAATAGAAGAGAAGTTTATGGGGTCATCATCAAGCCCCCCTCTGTGTTACAACTTCCATGGATTGTGAAATTTGTGCTTCAACTTGGGGTTCAAAATCATAGGTAAGAAATGACACTGGTGGGGTTAAAGAGAAAAATGAGTAGACTGAGAATTGCTTTGCTTGAAATCAGAGTTCATGTTTTGCTCTCAAAAACAAAAGACTTAAGACACAAGCGCTAGGCAGTTGAAAATTTCCAAAAAGGCATGTTTCCGATTATTCATTACATTTATCCTTGAAGGAAATTTTTTTAAGGATCCAAACTTATTGGTCACTTTTTTGGTCACAAAATATATTTTGAAAAGTACCAATAATTTGTCGCGGTTAGCGGTTAAAAATATTTACAAAAAATCACGATTATTGTTGAGTGGCTCCTCAAGGTCGATTATTATTGATGGGTTGGTTTAGGTATGAGAAATGAGCAAAATCAATGATTTGCTACAAATGAGTGTTTGGGACTTGCTCTCAAAAACAAAAGACTTAAGACACATGCGCTATATTTTTGAAGATATGCAAACAATCTTGTTCTTATAACTAGATTTTTGTTCTCTGAAACTATTCTCTTCTTATAATCTAATCTAATGTCCTTAAAAATTCACGGTTATAAATCTATAAGCCCAGGAAAAAAATTGTCTGCTAAATATCAATCCATTCTCAAGTAGTGGAAACAAAAGACTTAAGACACAAGCACTAGGCATTTGAACAGTGAAATTGTCTCATTCTCTACATTTTTAACCCAACACCTTTTTATAACCTACACCACAAGGTGCTCAGGGTATTATGTCTGTGTGCATTTGTTTGTAACAGGCAAAAGGAAACGAGATAGACCCATAGTTCCTTTTGATGATCTGCATAGAATAACATTCTGAGTCGATTTATGCATGTCCGTCCGTCCGTCTGTCCATGTAGTTTTGTAAACAAAGTACAGTTCGCATTTATTGCCCGATTCAGATGATATTTTGCACAAACCACTTGTTTGGCCCAAGGACGAACCCTATTGAAATTTGAGATAATCGGTAAAAATTTAGATATAGCTCCCATATATATCTTCGTCCGATTTGCCTTTTATTGTCCACCAAACGTGTAATATCAGACCGAATAGTATGGAATTTCGCACATACAACCAAATTAGACCTGAATGCCAAATTTGGTCGAAATCGGTTCAGATATAGCTATAGCTCCCATATGTATTGTTCATCCAATTTGTTATTTTTGTCCTTCGCAGCCGTAATATGCACTCTGTAACGACAATATTTGGGGAAATATATCAAATGCAGCTCAGAAATACCATTGCTAAATTTTATCGAGATCGGTTCAGATTTGGATATAGCTTCCATATATAACTTCGTCCGATTTACCTATTATTGTGCACCAGATGTCTAATATTTGCCCAAATCGGATGGAATTTGACACTTACGACCGAATTGAGTCTAGAAGCTAGCATGTCAAATTTGGTGAAGATCGATTCAGATGTAGCTATATCTCTCATATATACTGTTCATCCGTTTTGTTATATTTGTTATCCACAGCCGTAATATGCACTTCGTAACAACGATATTCAGGGAAATATATCAAATACAGCTCAGAAATATTTTTGCCAAATTATATCGAGATCGGTTCAGATTTGGATATACCTCCCATATCTGTCTTTATCCGATTTCAAATTAATTGTGCACAAGACTCAAGTCCGAATTTAAAAGATACAAATGATTCGGCGTATTTAATCCTTTGAACTTTAAATTATAATTATAATCGTAGGGTGTATGATTGAATTCTCCCATAAAAACATTTAATTGTTATGTGGAGCTCTACCAAATTAGCAAAGTGCTGTAGGGTATCATAAAGTCGACCCCGTCCGACTTTAAGACTTTCTTCTGGTTTTTAATGTTATTAACCTTTTTGACTTTTTTTATTGTTGTTACCAAATCATTGTCTGCCAGACATTTGTCTTGTGCGTTTTCACAATGATATCTATGACCACTCAGTAGCTGATGCTAGTGTGACGTAGGTCATGGTTTTATGATAATGTTTTGTTGCTCATTTTCTTTTGAGGCATGTTTTTTTTCTGTGACCCGGCTAAAATATACATATTTATTTTTTGTTCATTCATTCATATATTTGTTAACATTGTAATACATTAACATTGAACCAGTAATTATTTTTTGAATTTTTTTCTATTGGTATGCAAAGAAACTTGGTTCCACCTTCAGAAAAGTTCAATGGCACCAACGAAGGGTTATTGTACCTTGACTATTTGATGTTACAGTTTTTTTTTTATTTTTTGGAAATTGTTGTAAATTGCAATATTCCACTGTTGCACAATGCCAGAAAGAAAATCATAATAATAATAAATAATCTATTACAAATAAAAATAAATAAACCCTTAAATAATCAATATTTAAATAATCTCAAAAAAAAAAAAATGAAAATTTTTTGATATTTCAAACGACAATTTTTATTTTCTTCCACGTTTCCCCATCCCCCTCTTTTTCCATTTATATGACTATATTTTATTATTATTATTTTTTTTTTCATCTGTTTTCATTAAAAAAAACCTCCCCCTTTGACAAACACTTCTGGTGTTTTCTGCTTCTCCGCTCGCGACACCTTGAAACACTAATGGATGACCCACAGGCAGGCATGTCTGTTTCGCTTAATGTTTCTTTTATTTTGCATTAATCGGTGATTTGTTTTATTCATTTACATGAGAGACCGTTGCATTTAATGAATTCCAAACGGTTTAATTTTTATTTGGTGTCACAGTTTTTTTTCAATGTTTTGTTTTGGTTTATTTTTTCATGTTTTATTTTGGAAGTTTAATATATTTTGAGGGTCATGGAAACAAGTGACGGAAATTTCAACAGGTTCATGGGGTGTGGCGGAATACAAAAATTGTTGGCGAGGGTATAATCAGTTGGTTTTCAGGTCCGAATGTATTTTTATGGAAGTCCTCTTTCAGAGGACTAATAAACCTTATTCTGGAAGAAGAGAACGTTATCTTATAAAAGGTATTTTTTGTAGAAGACCGAAATACCTTCTCATGGGAGACCAGAAGGTTTTCTCATAGAAGATCCTCTCATAGAAAAGCAAAGAAGGTCTTCTCATAGAAGGTCTTCTCATAGAAGGTCTTCTCGTAGAAGAGCAGGAGGTCTTCTCATAGAAGAGCAGGAGATCTTCTTATAAAAGAGCAGAAGATCTTCTCATTGAAGACCAGAAGGTCTTCTCATAGAAGACCAGAAGGTCTTCTCATAGAAAACCAGAAGGCCTTCTCATAGAAGACCAGAAGGTCTTCTCATAGAGACCAGAAAATCTTCTCTTAGGAGACGCACGGTCTTCTCATAGATGTCCAGTGTGTATTCTCATACTAAACCAGAAGGTCTTCTCATAGAAGACCAGAAGGTATTTTCATAGAAGACCAGAAGGTCTTCTCATAGAAGGCCAGAAGGTCTTCTCATAGAAGACCAGAAGGTCTTCCCATAGAAGACCAGAAGGTCTTCCCATAGAAGACCAGAATATCTCCTCATAGAAGACTAAAAGGTCTCCTCATAGAATACCAGAACTTCTCCTCATAGAAGAACAGGTGGCCTTCTCAGAGAAGACGAGAAGGTCTTCTCATAGAAGACCAGAAGGCCTTCTCATAGAAGACCAGAAGGCCTTCTCATAGAAGACCAGAAGGCCTTCTCATAGAAGACCAGAAGGCCTTCTCATAGAAGACCAGAAGGCCTTCTCATAGAAGACCAGAAGGTCTCCTCATAGAATACCAGAACTTCTCCTCATAGAAGAACAGGTGGCCTTCTCAGAGAAGACGAGAAGGTCTTCTCATAGAAGACCAGAAGGCCTTCTCATAGAAGACCAGAAGGCCTTCTCATAGAAGACCAGAAGGTCTTCCCATAGAAGACCAGAAGGTCTTCCCATAGAAGACCAGAATATCTCCTCATAGAAGACTAAAAGGTCTCCTCATAGAATACCAGAACTTCTCCTCATAGAAGAACAGGTGGCCTTCTCAGAGAAGACGAGAAGGTCTTCTCATAGAAGACCAGAAGGCCTTCTCATAGAAGACCAGAAGGCCTTCTCATAGAAGACCAGAAGGCCTTCTCATAGAAGACCAGAAGGCCTTCTCATAGAAGACCAGAAGGCCTTCTCATAGAAGACCAGAAGGCCTTCTCATAGAAGACCAGAAGGTCTTCTCATAGAAGACCAGAAGGTCAGTCTTCTTACAGAAGACCAGAATGTTGGTCTTCTTACAGAAGACCAGAAGGTTTTCTCACAGAAAACCTTCTTCTCATGGAAGGGCGGAAATTCTTCTCATAGAAGACCAGAAGGTGTGCTCAAAGGAGACCAGAAGATCTTCTCAAAGAAAACTAGAAGATCTGCATAAATAAGATCAGAAGAATACAATATCAGAAGTTCGTCTCATAGAAGACCAGAAGGGTTTCTCACAGAAAACAGGGGGTCTTCTTATAGAAGACCGGACGGTCTTATCATAGAAGACCAGAAGTTCTTCTCTCTCTTCTCAGAGAAGACCAGAAGATTCTCGTCTTTTCTGATAAGACCTTCTCATCTTCTCGGAGAAGACCTTCTTAGACCTTCTCTTTAGACGAGTTGTCCGGCCAGTGAGTCACTATGGATGAGTGGGCGGGCCACTGAGTCTCTATAGACGAGTTAGCGTGTCACTGAGTCTTTATAGTTGGCGGCCCAGTAAGTCTCTACAGGCCTGTTGGCAGCCCAGTGAGTCTCTATAGGCCAGTAGGCGGACTACTGAGTCTCTATAGACGAGTTGGCAGGCCAGTGAGTCTCTATAGATGAGTTGGCAGGCCAGTGAGTCTCTATAGACGAGTTGGTAGCCCAATGACTCTCTATAGACGAGTTGGTGGGCCAGTGAGACTCTATAACGATTTGGTTGGC